AGGAGGAGGAGGAAGAGGAGGAGGAGGAGATTGGGCTCACCTAGCAGGGAGAGCGTGCTACCCTGGCACCTGCCCCAGGCACAGCCCACCAGGCCGGAGCCACGCACCGTATTGGCCCTTTGTTTGCTAGGCTGTGACAGAGCCGGAAGAGGGAGTCTTGGTTTCCTTACAGAGACAGCCTGTGCTGTCAGGAAAGCTCTGACTGGTTCTGACAGGAGGCACAGTAGTGGGCAACTGCTCCTTGGAACTCAGTTTCTCCTGGGAGGCCGATGCCACGTCTGGTCCCTGACCCTGTTCTGGAGGGACCCAATTGCTGAAGACCTTTCCCTCCCCACAATGGCTCTCTGAATGGGGCCTCACCCATGCTTGCCTCCTTTGCTGCCATGGCAACCAGCTTACCCCTTCCTGTTCAGCTCTGGGCACGGTAGGGGTGGCAACCCACCCTCTACCTGCAAAGGGACCCTTCCCAAGGTCAGCCAAGGACAGTAGGTGTCTATCGCTCCTGGGATAAGAAACCCCGGGTTCGCCCATCAAATCATTGAGTTGGGTCATTTTGTTCTGTTGCCAGGAACCAAGTGACAAAGACGGTAGAGTGTTCCCTTGCTGAGAGCCACAGTAGCAGCGGCAGCTGGGTTGGGAGCTAGGGCAGATCTCTGGGCTTCTGGGCCCTTGATTTGGCTGCTTTTGGCTCCACTGGGAAAACTGGAGCAACTTGCTTTTGGGAAAAGGAAATGTGCACACACTGAGCACCTACTGTGTTCAAGGCACTGTCGTGGGTGCATCATCCTGTGTGACAGACAGAGAAAGAGAGGGGCCAGGTGATCTGCTCTTGCTGTGGAGTGGTGGGACCAGGCTTTAGCCCGGGGTTACTTCTGACTCCAGAACCTGTGTTCTCTCCTCTAGTCTACCGCACAGGGCCTCTGTGTGTGTAGAGGACTCTGGGGTGACATTGTTAAAGGCGTGGTGCTCAGCGTAGAGAAGTGAACGGCTGTGGAATCTTTTGGTTCACTCTTCCTGGGCAGTTCATGTGTCTGAGTATGCTCAACATATGGCTTTTATGTAACTTTGACTATTTTAACATTAAACACCACCGAGACTGAACTGAGGTAGTTTGCTATTGAAAACAGAGAGACGATAAAGCCAGGCTCAGTGGTGCACTCCTGTCATCCCCGCTACTCAGGAGGCTGTAGCAGGAGGATTGCAGGTTTGGGGCAGGCCCCGGCAACTCAATGAGATCCTATCTCAAAAGGTCAAATCAAATCAAAGGGGCTTGGGATAGAGCTCAGTAGTAGAGTGTTTGCCTGGGCTGTGTAGAGCTGTGGGATCCTTTCCCTAGTACCATGAATAAAAGATGACTACAGGCGGGGCATGGGGTGCAGCTCAGTGGTACAGCCCTTGGCCAGCAGGCACGAGGCTCTGAATTCGACCCCCAGAACAAAGATGACTGTGGCGGACTCGTTTGGGAAATAAGTGACTACTCATTTTTTCAAATATTGGACTTTTGTATCTGTGGAAGCCGTGTGCGTACTGAAATTCCAGCACGTAATGACTTGGACATCTGTCTTACTGGGAACAGGACCTGAGTCTCTCCCACAAGACCGGGAATCCCAGAGGTCCTGAAAGTACCACAAGCAAAGCGAGTGTGGCCCACAGAGAGAGGTGTGGCAGGGCTAAGCTTCCTGCCTTAGAGGGGGGCCCCTGGAAGCTGTGCCAGTCTCCACATGGGTGGTCCTGGTGGGCAGAGCTGAGCTTCCCCCTGGGAGCATGCACCCCAGGACAGCGGGGTGGTCCTCACTCCCTGTCGCTTGGTCTGTGCATGGGGTCTGCAGATGCCTCCCTTCCTCCTCCTCTCTCCCCAGATGGCTCAGCAAGCCCTGACTACCCAGGTCCGCCCGCCCTGAGAGCGTACAAGAGAGTCCGGCTCCACGAAGGGGAGACGCTGTCCGTGCAGTGTTCCTACCAGAGCCGCCAGAACCAGGTGGAAGGCAAGGTGTGGTGCAAGATCAACAAGAGGAAGTGCGAGACCAGGTTCCCCCGGCACTGGGTGAAGGGGCCGAGGTATCGGATGCAGGACGATGTCCAGGCCAAGGTGATCACCGTCACCATGGTGAACCTCAAGCAGCAGGATGCAGGCCGCTATTGGTGCATGCGCAACACCTCCAGGGCCCTCTACCCCCTGGAGGGCTTCCTGCTGGAGGTGTCTCCAGGTGAGCTGGCCTGCGGGCCCTGGAATGGCCGTGGGTGTCCTGACTGTGTGAGGGTCACAGACCTCCTGGGTGGTGGAAGGGAGATTTGAACTCAGGACTCTTTTTTTTTGAGACAGGATTTTTTTGGTGTGATACTGGGGATCGAACCCAGGACCTTGTGCTTGTAAGGCAGGCGTGGTGCCACTGAGCGAAATCCTCGGCCCCTCAGGACTCTTTTATTCAGTCCTCCATTCAACAGGCATTCATCGAGCCTCTGTGTGATACTCCAGGCACTGTTCTAGGCTCAAGGAATCCAAATCAACCACAAGTTCTCCCTTGGGGAGAAGGCAGGCAATAACACATCATCCAGGCCAATCACTGCCAGTAACATCAGTGTTCTCGAGAGAAGAAAGTGTGATGAACCAGAAAGTAACTCAGCAGAGCCCTGAGTGATGACAGTCCTTCATCCTCTGAAAGCTGGGTGCTTGGAGGGAGCAAAGGCCCTGAGGAGGAGCTGCATAAGGAAGGCTGGGGCTGGTCCATGCTGCATGTGGGGCACTTGGGTTAGGGGAGCAAGGAAGGCGGATGACAGTAGATGTCAAGGTACTGGCTGCTGTTTTCAGGCTTTGAGGTTGGAAGTTCGAGGATCAGCCCTGAATTCCATGATCCAGAGTTTGGGATTTCTTCTAAGTACAACAGGAAGCTATCAGAGAGCATATAGGGCGGGTGCGGTGTTGGTGTTTTAAGATGGTAACGGCCGCTGTGGAGAGGAGGGGCAGGGAGATCATGGGGTGTCTGGCTGCATGCGGCGGGGGCTCGGGGTGGGATGTGGGCACCGGAGGGAGAGGTGGCTGCACTCAAGCCACAGTTACCAGACCTTCAGGCTCCGAGCCGGGCAGGGTTTGCTCAGGTGAAAGTGAGAGTTCAGCAGGAGGCAGCAGGTTGACAGGTAGGGTAGACCCCAAAGAGGACAGAGTTTGGAGGGAAAAATCGAGAGCTCTCTTTTGTCAGGATGAGTTTCAAATGTGTCTTGAGCCTCAAGTGGAGGAACGGAGTGGGAGGTTGAGCTCTGCCTGGAGTCTGGAGAGAGAGGTCCCGGCTGGGTGTGGCTCTCCGCGGCTCAAAGGCAGTGTCCGAAGTTGAGGGCTTGGTGAAAGGAGGTACTGGTGGCTGTCTGGGGCTCAGGGAAGGAAAGGGGTTGGAGTGATGGGTTGCTCTCTGAGATGAAGAAAATGTTCTAAAATCCACTGTAACGATGGTGGTCTAACTCTGCGCATGTACTAAAAACTATTGGATTGTATACTGTTAATAGGTGTATGGTATGGGATGTGAGTTGCGTTTCCATAAAGCTGTTTTTAGAAATCAAGGGGACATAAAACTCTCCCTTGAGCATAGAAAAAAGATAGAGAAGGGCCAAGAACTGAGCTTCGAGGTTCCCCATAGTTAGCAGAGAGGAAGGGGCGGGGAGCTTGGAAACATCCACTTTCACGACATTTACGACCAACTCTTCCCTCTCTGCTGACCCACTGAGTTCTGCCTCCTGTTGGGTCTGAGCCATGGAAGATGCCTCACTCAGCTGGAAGAGTCCAATCTCAACCTGCCCCTCTCCCGTTCTGATTTGACCCCAGGAGGAAGTCAGAGGCCACTTCATCGAGCTCTTTACCTGTAGGGACACCAGCACACAGAGGCTTCGTTTTTCCTCTCCTCATCTCTCCCACTGCTTGTGAGATGTCACTGCCCACCATTTCGGGGTAATCTGGGGCGATTCCACCTTCGCAGACCTTTGCAGGTGCTAGCAACTCAATCCTCAGCCCAGTCTCAAATTAAACTTCCAGCAATCCATTGCTCTGCCTCTCTGCCTTGAATAGCGGAGTATTTCAAGGTCCAGGTACTTGAACTGGTGAAGACGGAGCCTGGCCGAGCCCCTTTCACCCGGGAATGTGGGATTCCTCTTTTGGGGTCCCTTGCAGCAGGAATGAGGGAGAGGAGCACAGCAATGTGGTGTAGTGATTTGCGTGGGCTGTCGGTGTTTTTCCGCCAACGCTTCGCAAGACCGTTCTGGCTGGATGCCTGGGTGCTGGCTCCCAAGGCACCAATGTGGGGTCTTTGGAGGGATCTTTGGAGGTGTCCTCACTGCTGAGTATAACGTGGTTCCGGCCTCTCTTGCCAACCCCATCTTCAGCAATGCTGCTTGTTCTGCGCCAGCCCCCACCCCACACGGCTTGAGCTCCGCCACCCTGCAGAGCGGACACTGGTCCCTAGAAAAGGGTCCTTTCTGTGCCGTCGGAGGGCAACAGCCTCCCTCCAGTGGTCTCGACTCCCACTGAGGTCTCAGACCCTCCCACCCCAGACGGAGTCCTTGCAGCTCCTCCAACCCCTCTCTCCGCCACCGTCCAGACTCCAGGCTTCAGGAAGACGGGGTGGTAAAGAGCCGGGTTGATGGAGGACAGGCCACGGGTGTGTTGTGAAGCCCCCCACGGAAGGCATTTGACCTCCCAGCTGTTTGGTTTCCTCTGGAATGTGGGACCCTTGATGTCTCCCTGTTGTCGGGTCCATGCAGCTAGCTGGGATCCAAACTCAGCACCGGTAATGAATTAGAGGGATGGAGTTTTTAAGCAAGGAAGACACTTTATTTGCAAAGGGGAAAAAAGCAGAGCAGAAAGCTGCCTGAAGAGGGGTAGAGGGTTCTGGAAAGGTGGATTCCTGCAGGTCCTTTGCCCCTGGCCTCTTTTATTAGGCCATAGGACCCTTCCTCCCAGAACTTGCCACAGCATGATTGGCTCTCTGGACCTCTTCAGATGGATCCCAGGCCACAAGGCCCGAACCTGGGCACCACTGCCGATGTGCACGTTCCCTTGGTGGGCTTTGCTTGACTTCTTCTTGCCTGTCTGTCCTTGTCAGGGCCCTATCTGGGATTTGTAGGTTGGCTAGGAGCAGTCTTGCAGGAGAGAGGCTGAAGAGAATGTGACCATCACCCTCCATTACTCTGCTTCCTCTTCCCCACCTGACATTGCACCTGGTCACCCAAGTCCTAGGGCCGAAGCTGGGGCCCAGGGTCAAGGAGGACGGGCTCCACCTGTGTGGACCCCATGTGGTTGCCTGGCCTGAGTCAGTCTGACCTCCCTCTCTCTCTGCCCCTCAGGTGCCGTGACTCAGAGGACTGCCCGCCTCACACACCTGGCTGACAAGGACCTCAAGAGTAGACCTGTCTTCACGACAGGCCCAGCCCCTACCTCAGGCCCTGATGCCCCCTTCACCTCTGGTGTGGCTCCATTCACACCTGGGCCCCTCATCTGGGCCAGCCTCAGGCCTTCAGCTACCTTGGGGACCCCCAGGCCAACCTCTGTGACAGGATCCAGCCTCACTGGTATCGCCACCACCGTGGGGCCCAGGAGAACCATGGGGCTCCAGCCAGTGACATTGACTCCCAGAGACACCAGCAGTCCAGTGTCCATCTCCACCAAGCCCAGCAGCAGCGTTCCCACCTCGAGAAGGTGCCGTGACCAACTACCCTCCACCAGGTACCTGCTGGGGGACGTGGCTCCAGGCGTGGCCCGAGCTCCTGGGGCTGGAACAGACCTCAAGGAGGAGCTCTGGTATCTGATCCTCCCCAGAACTCCCCTGACCTCCCCCCGACCTCTCCCGACCTTTTCCAACTCTTTCTTGAGCTCCTGACCTTCTCCTGACCTCCCTTGACCTTTCCTTGACCTTCCTCTGACCTCTCCAACCTTCCCCTTTTGCTCCCTGGGAACTCAGTGGGACTGCAGGTAGAGGGGCCTGAAGGAGGGCTGAGATTGGGAAGTAGGAAATGAGGACACTCTACTTTCGGGTCCCCCAGAAGCCCACTCTGGGACAAGAACTGACATCTTACCTGGCTCATGAGAAAGAGGGTGCAGAGGTGGGCAGGGCAGGGAGCCGTTCACCCCAGTGGGTCCCCGAAGCCCTGAGGGGTGAGGGCCCCGGGACAGACATGCCAACCCCTGCAGTGACAAGGAAAGGCCCCCAGTTTCACAAGAGGGTGTTAGCACGTGTGTGTGTGTGTGTGCGTGTATGCACGCGTGTGTACACATGTGCGGGGGTCCTGTCCATCTGTGTCCCGGGACTCGCTTGGGCACCCTGTGCCTGTGGCAGCGCTGCAGGTGGCATTGTCAGTGGTACCTGCAGCACCCGCCACAGAGCACAAGGGCCAGGCGATGTCCTCGGGCACTGAGGAGGCCAGAATCTCTGCAGTCGCCGTGGGGTCTGCAGTGTCCTTGTCCTGAGGATGGATGGGTCTGGGGCACCGTGGAGCACGGGTTCTGTGTGGGACTGGGGCCTGGCACTCACCTCCATTCCTGCCCCAGGCTGCGGGAGCCCCACCTCACGGCGCTGGTGGTGCTGCTGGCCCTGCTCCCCGTGCCTGTCATGTTGGCTGTGGTCTACAGGTTCTGGAAGAAGAAACACAGGGGAAGTGAGTAGGGCCGCCGTGACCCGGGTCCCCGTGGGGGTGTTCCTGGGTCTGTGCCCGGCAGAGGACCTCGAGGAACCTCGAGTGGGGGGACCGAGGCAGGGCCAGCGAGGGGCAGGGCTGGATGGGGCACTGGGCACAGTGTGTCAGGCGTGGCCCATCTCTGTCTCTTATAGGCTACAGCCTGGGCAGCGACTCTGCCAGACCCTGGAGGCCCCCAGCAAGAAGACCGGAGGCCCTTTTGAAGCCTGCTTGGTTTGAGACCAGTTAACGACACCAGGGAGCTTCTTGGGGAGACACAGGAGGCTCCAGAGAGGACTGAGCACCAGGGACTGGCCCGAGGGGAGGGGACCCCCCCAGGGGCAGCTGATGCCCTGCCTGGCACACCTGCTGGTCACTCCAACCCGGAAGCCTGCAGAGCCCTTGCTCCCTGCTGCCACCGACCACTGCCCTGCCTCTGTGGTGGCTGACGTTGGGGCGCTGCTCCCCAGTGTTCCTGTGCCCTGGTGCCAGGTCTGAGCTCCTCAGGGCACTGGGGCCCAGCAGACTCTGGCAGGGTCCCTCACCTGGCCCGCAGACCCTGGTGGGGAGGCCAAGCTTGGGTCAGAGAAAGAGTGGGTTGCCCTGACCCCCAGCCATGGACTGTCCCTCGGGAGAGAAGACCCACTTGGGACACAGTGACCGACAACCTGGAGACGACCACAGCCTCGAGGAAACGGGACCCCGGCAGCTTCTGGCCAGGTTCCAGTGGCCCTGCAGCTGCCACCTGCCTGCCCCTTCTGGCCCAGTCTCAACCTCTACCATCCAGACTGCTGACCAGGTTCCTCCCCAGAGAGGGGCCATCACCCTGCACCTGGGGACAATATGACATTTCTGCCCTCAGCCCTGGGCCAAGGACCTCAGGACGGGAGAGCAAGCATCGTGGTCAGGAGGTGACACTGAGTAGGCCTTGGTGGGCAGCTGACGTGGGTGCTACTGGGTGGGCAGGCAGCAAACGGGGGGGGGCACTGCCAGGAGGACGCCCTCTTCCCTATGTCCAGGAGGGGGCAGTAGAGGGAAGACTTGGGCTGTGCCACTGACAGCCCTGGTCCCAGGACAGAGACACACAAACACGTGGACATCCACTTCCGGCCAGCAAGCACTACGCTGAGGGCCACTGCCGGAGTGTAACCAGGAGGGCCCGCCTCGCAGGAGGAGTCAGGGATGGGGCCCAGTCGTCACTGTGATCCTGAATAACTCACTACCCTACCTGGGCCTCATTTTCCTTGTGAGAGGGGCCCGCAGTTCCTACCTCTCAGACTGTTTCCGGAAGACAATGAAAAGCACGGTGATGTCGGTGCCCTGCCATTACTGTCCCCCGACTGCTGTTCCGTGTGCTGCTTCTCCCCTTTTGCATTTGAGACCTGAGGACTCTGGTTCTTCGTCCTCTATCCTCCGTCTCCTGGCTACACGGACGCTGGGGTCCCTCTAGTGAGGGTCCCTTGGGAGGAGTGAAGGTACAGAGGTGGGTGACGACACTGAAATAGAGGCCTGGGTTCCAAGCGTGGCACAGCGTGACTGTCTCACGTCGCTGTCCCTCTCTGACCCATTGCATCTAGAGGAGGATGAAGGTGAGCTCTGGTGGGGCTGGACCCAGGACCCAGGGCTGTCGCATGGACAACCCCTTTTTGTTTATTTATTCATTTATTTTTATCTTCAGTCAGGGTCTCTCCAAGTTGCTAAGTTGCCCAGGCTGGGCTCAAACTTGCAATCCTCCTGCCTCAGCCTCCCGGAGTGCTGATATTACAGGCCTGTACCACTGTAGCCGGCTGAGATGAGCTTTGCAACCCCTCAGTATCATGTCTGAGGCCAAGGATGTGTGCGGATCAGTTGCTCCCATACAGCTCAGCCTTGGTGGAAGCCAGGGGCAGCCAGGCCACAGCGGGTTCACGGCTCTGAGGGGTGGTGGACACCGCCACACTTGCCGCCAGCCCCTCCTTCGGGACACGAGCCTCTTGCCCAATGCTGGGTAGGGGCAGAAGCCACCTGCCAACCCCGAAGGGCTGCCTCATGGAAATGGGGTGTCCAACTTGGCCTGTCCTGGGAAGCCTCACCTCCAGCCCCTTCTCCTGCCCTGGCCTTCTCTGTCCCAGATCCCTGGTCCCTGCGGTCCAAGCTGCCACGAAACACACTTACACGCCCTTTTTTTTTTTACTTTTTATTTCAAGACAGGGTGGTGCTAACTCACCAATTCGCCCAGACTGGACTCAAACTTGAGATCCTCCTGCCTCAGCCTCCCAGAGTGCTGGGACTATAGGTGTGCGCCATCATGCCCGGCACTGTGGTTGTTTCTACAGGGATTTTTTTCCCCATTGTTTCAGTCATTCATCCATCGGGACGAACAGCCCAGGACACCGATTCTCCATATCTCCCTGTGGTGCATTAGCTAACGCAACGGTCCACGTGGAACACGTAGACTGGGCGTGGAAGACCCTGAGGATTGTTGTGTATAAGGAGAACTGGGTCGGGGGATGGCGATGCTGTTGATTTTTCTGGACAATCTCGAGGAAGCTGGCTTCCCTGATATGAAACTCGGCTGTTCTCATCAGGGAGCTCAGGTCCTCGCTGTCCCCAGGATGGCTGCTGCGTGCTTCAGGGGAGCTCTGCCTTCGCCGTGAGGGTCGCTTCCTGGCTCCAGGGCAGATCCCGCAGCCTGATGGCACAGACCCTGTGCCTCTCTGGCCCAGACTTTCTAGCTTCCACCACTGGCCCCTGGGCTGGGTCTTCTCTGTGAAGACCCTGGAGACGGACTTGCATGGGACATTGCCGGGGGGCACTAGGCCTCCGGCTGGCCTTTTGGGGGGTGTCGCCATGGGATCCAGGCACACCTCTGCATTTGACATTTTGGGTGACTATTTTAAATAACCCTATAAATTGCGTGTCCTGTATTAAATCTATTCCGTGGCAAACCCTGACTGCAGCACACACCCCATTATTTTATTATTTTGTTGTTGATTAGTGCAGCCTTTCTGCTGGGTCCACGGGGCAGGTGCGGCTCCTCCTCCTCCCCGCGCTGCTGTCCTGCCCTCTGTCCCCATCTCCCTGCCCCTTCCTCACTCTGGCTCTCTTCCCCTGGGAGCCTCCCTGGAAGGGACTGTCCAGCTCCTTTCACCTGTTCCGTCCCCTCCGGTCCCTGGGGAACTGTTCTGGGCACCAGGCTTCTGATCCCTGGGCACCAGAGGGGGGTGGGGGGCCTCTGGGTCCTTGTTAGACCTCCCAGGTCCCCCAGCTCTGCCACCCCATGCTCAGGGCGGGTGTGGGGGAGGAGCTCTGAGCTGGGCAAGTGGTAGCCCGAGGCGTAGGAGGGGAAGAGGTTTCACCATGGTTTCCTCCACTTTCTGGGCTTCTCTGTCACACCCCACGGGGAGGGAGGTGGCTTGGAGAAGTGTGGGGAGGCTGAGGCCCAGACGGGGCCTCTGCAGACCGAGAGCTGGGGTCTGCAGCTGGGGCCTCTCCGTCCTCAGCTTCCTGCTAGGCCACGGAGGCCTCTGCTGTCCTTGGCAACGCATCCTAAAGGCCTGGGGTGGCTGGGCCGAATCCCACCCAGCTCCTGCTCCCTCTTCTTGGGGCTTCAGAACAGGACCCATGGCCTGGGAGGCCACAGGCCTGTTGACCCCTGCGCTGCTGGTGCCCCTGGACTTGGACGACGAGCAGGGACCGGGGCAAGGAGAAGTGGGGAGCAGAGGGATTTGCGGGGCCGATGGAGCACAGTTTGTGTGGGGCTATGTGAAGGGCAGGCTGGGAACCCAGCCGCACGGTTCTGGGGTGCGTCCTGAGTGTCACCACGGTGGTGGTTGCTTCCCAAAGCGGGAGGCCCCACCTCCTAGCTCTGCATGGAAGTTGGGGGCTCCCTGACCTGAGCATGTATCTCCAGGCTCCTGGACCCAGGACACGGTGTTGCGGAGACTGGAGGGTGAGACACTCGTTGTGGGGTGCAGCTGCAGCCTGTTCGGATCAATAGCAAACATCGGGAGCGGGAAAACGTCAGCGAATATGTGTAACGTACTAGTGACCAGCCTCCAGACGTGGGATCCATGATGTTTCATCTGGGATGATCCTAGATCTAACAGCCTCACGGCCAGCGTGACTGGGCTCAGCATACAAGACGCGGGATTCTATGGGTATGGACTCTCTGAAGATCGGCAGATCCACATTCCCAAAATCGTGAGCCTGGTGGGGTCTCAAGGTGAGTTTTCCTCCGTCTTATACATGGTTCTCAGCTTACCTGAATTGGCAGGTGCCAGAACTGGGGATGGTAGGGGACCCTAGAGAGCCTCCCCTCCAGCCCTCTCTGGGGTGAAGACTGAGGCTGGAGGCCACCCGCTGGCTAAGGACAGAACCAGCCACTTCCCGTCCTTTCTTCCACATCACAGGCGTCTGACACTTGTGTGGCCACCAACAGTCCCCTTCCATCTGCTTAGAAAGCTCTGGGGTCCATTCCTGGGCTCCTTTACCTTCCTTCAAGGACTGTGGGGTCCATTGTGCAGATAGGGGACCACAGAGCACCTGGGGGAAGGTCAGCTGGGCAAGGAGGCAGATCTGAGACTCGGGGTATGGCAGCCTCAGGCATGGGGGACCCGCCCCTAACAGTGGGGCCTTTAAGCTTTGGAATGGCAAGGTTGGGGTCCCTCCAGCTCGGAGGCCCCCGTGTATTCTTTCCGAGAGGTGGCCGGTTCCCTGCATTTACCTGTGATGTTCAGAGCTTCAGGAGCATCTCCCAGGCCCAGGCCATACAGGTCATCCTTTGCCCAAGACTGAGCTCAGTGTCCAGTCCACAGTGCCCTCCAGGGCCGGGAGTAGGCTCCGGTTGTCCAGGACTGGAGGTGGGAGCCCTGTCGTATGGGAGGAACAGGTGGAAACACACTTACTGTCATGTCTTACAGCTCCAGCCCCTCCCAACGCCAGCAGTGCACAGAGGACCACGAGGGTTGCAGCCCCAGCCTCTGGCACCAGCCCTGCGGCTGACAGGTAGGCTGGCCCCTCCCCTGCATCGCCCCCAGCTCTCAGGGGATGGAGTGGGGGGTAGATGGGTCACCTCAGGTCCATTTTCCTGCCTCAGTTTTCACATCTGCAAAAGGGGATCAGTAGCCCCCCAACTTACATCAGGATGTGCTGCTCTCGTCCCTGCAGACACCTGGAGCCAGTGAGTTTCTTTGTCCTGGGATGCCACTCTGCATTGTTGGATGTTGGGCACAGTGGGTGGCCTTTTCTCGTTGGAGGCCAGGAGCACAAATGCCCCAGACCTTGCCAGGTGGGCTCAGGGGGACCTGGACACCCCACCTCATGAGCCCTACCTTCCCAGTTGCTGTGAGGATCAGTAGTGTGGATTTGGGCGACCAAGCCAGGACAGGCACAAGGCCACACCTCAGTGGTCTAGGTAAGCGCATGGTCTAGTCACTAAACCCTCAGCCTGATTTCTTCCCAGCACTGCCTGATTTCTCCAGGTCCTAGCCTTTGTCTGACCTGACCCTCTCTCTACCCACCATCCCCTCAGACCTTGAACCCTGGGCTCTTGTGAACTATTCCTTGTCAAGGGATAAAGCCACAAAGCTGGGCATGGTGACAACATGCCTGTAACCCCAGCTTCCAGGAGGCTGAGGCAGGAGGATTAACACAGTCCAGGCTACCTAGTGAGTTCAAGACCAACCTGGACTACATAGCAAGACCTTGTTTCAAAAACAAATAAAACAAACCAAATTAAACCAACCAAACAAAGAAGCCAGAAAGCAGGTGGTAGTGATCTGCTGAGCTGAGAAATATTGCTGGAACCACCCCTCTTCCTTCTGGGCCTGCCACCCAGACACCTTCCTTCGGGGTCTTCGAGGGCACAGGAATGTCTACTTTTGTCTTTGCTTTGACTTGAGACACTTTTTTCTTTGCAATACTAGGGATTGAACCTGACACCTTAGCACTGCGCTATACCCCAGTCTTTAAAAAAAAATGGTTATTAAATAACCTGGGTTATTTGCTGGGTTCCATCGTTGGCCCGCAGCCGCCCAGAGTGCTGGGATTGAAGGTCTAAACCTCCAATCCAAGACTTAGGCAGGATCTCTTGGAAATTTGCCCCGAGGGCCCTGAATGTCACAGAGAAGGGCTGGGGAGGAGCAGCTGGTTGAAGGGTGGTGGCCAGGAAGGTACAGAGGCTCCAAGAGGGCTGGAGGAAAGCAAGGACCACAGTCAGAAGGGGGAAGGGACAGAGACCAGCTCTGGCCCAGGTGACTGGGGACCCCAGGAGAGGCAGGAAGCCAGGAACCCCGAGGTGAGCCTGGGTGGCCAGGAGTACAAGGACAAGGGTTATCATGCCCATTTTATCAGTCAGTCCTCAGAGGGGACCGTGATCCCCAGCAGAGGCTCGAGGTCAGATCGCCAATGCCAGCTACCTCTGCGGCCACTGACTACAGTTAGGTGTGTGGGGACGGGGACCACTCTGGGCCACAGACTTCAAAGCCATCTTTACGGTTAAGGACGTCAGGATGAGTTTATGTGAAGACTTTTCCCATCAATGGCATTTTAAACAAATGTTTTCATTTTACAATTTTGTCTTCCTCCATGTGAGGGAAAGGAAAAGGGCGACTGCGGGTCAAAGGACAGGGAGTAGAAAAGGCATAGGACAGGTAAGGAAAGATCTGAGGGTGTCCCACCCCTAACTTGACTCCCTGCAGGTAAGAGCAGCTCCCACACCTAAGAGGATCTTCCAGCCCAGAAGGAGGAGGCCACTGTGAGAAGCGACGGCCCCTCCGGGTTCACAGGGGCCTGCAGTGTGTGTCCGCATGCTGTTTCAGTTCCCCAGTCTGCACCCACTTGCAGTTTCTGTTTCCCCCAAATCTTGACACATCTTGCGACTGCTGTGCCCCTGCAGCCCCGCTGCCTATTTCTGCAGCTCCTTTCCCGTATTTCCCAATGCCAATCTGAGGGAGAAGTTGGCACAAGGTTGGCTAATCGCTCGGGTCAAACACTCAGCCCACAGCATGGTCCCTAGACAAGCTTCCTGCTGGGGAGAACAGCTTTTCCAGACCCCGTTCCCAGAGGTGTGCGGGGCCCTTACCTTGTCGCACACCCTAAGCGCCGCTGACCACCGCAGCCGTGGCCTATGCCCTGGACATCTGTCCGTCTGCTTTGGTTCTCAGGACTTTGATCAGCAGGTCGTCTCTCACCAGGACTCGGGGACCATCCACGACGCCTCACTCACCCACCCAAACCACTCTGGCGCCAAGGACCCCACCTGCTCCCACAGCCACGCTCCCCTGTCCCCCTCCTGTCTGTGGAATACGCCAGCATTGCTGGACACGGTCCCTGGCCCTCTGCGCTGGCCTCCCTCAATGGGGAGCCTAGGAACTAAGGGGAGAGTTCGCCAGGCAGCGGGTACAAAGTTACTGTACCCCAGTGAGGTGACTTCATCCGTCGGAGGAGGCCAGGCTGGTCAGGATCCAGGTCCTCCTGCAGGGAGGGAGGACAGAGCCAGAGGGGAGCAGGAGCCTTGGGCACAGCAGAGGATTTCTGGGCCTTGCTTCTGCGAGATGCTACCAAGACAGAGCCCAACAGGACAGGGGCCCATTCTCCCCTCCCTCAGTGGCTGTCACGTCCTCCCTGGCCTGAGTATAAGCACCTGGCCAATTATGCAAGTCCCTCTGTTGCCGCCTCTGAGGCCTGGAAGCCAGGCTGGGCTTCGGCCCCACCCGGCTCCTCTCCTGCCTGGCCTTCTGGTTTGGACTCGTCAGCCACGGATTATCACCACCGGCCAGGAGGAAGGCCGGGCCGTGGGTGCTGACTGCCACCTGGGAGTCTCCTGGAGCTCCTGCTTTGGCCAGGCAGGGTGGGCAGGAAGCGTCCCTCCCTGTGGCCGTGCACATAGCTCCCTCCATGGAGACTCGTCCCCTTTGCCACCTGCACCCCCACCACATAGCGCAGGCTCGAGGAAGCCTCCTGCCCAGCCCAAGGAGACAGAGGCTGTTCCTGCATTCAGGGCCGGGCACTTGGCATAGGGGAGGTGGGCACAGGGAGGGAGTGGAATGCTGTCAGCGCTGTCCTGGCTCCTGGGGTCTCCGCCCTGTGCTGCGTGGGGTCCCCTCCTCCTGCAAGCCAGAGCGGACTGCTAGAGGGTGGTGACTCTGGCCCGACCTCCCTGGCCCTTCAGGACTCTCCACCGCGGCAGTCCCGTCTTCATCTTTACCAGACGCCCCTCACCCTGGGCTTCCTGCAGCACCGAGAGCCATGCCAGGGTGACAAAACCATAAAGACTCCGCTGTGCTCCTGGGGCTGAATGATCAGTATTCAGAAATAAGCATTCAAGGCACCTCTGCCAGCCAAGGGCCCGGCCCAGGGCTGAGGACACAGAGATTAATTCTAGGAAGCCAACGAGATGGGGAGACGGAGTGATAGTTTGGGCCAGACTGAGGCCTGGCTGGAACTTCATTTTCCATTTTACAGATGGAGAAATAGAGGCACAGAGAGGCTAGGTAATTTCCCAAGGTTACACAGCTAGCAAATGGTCGATCCCAGGCTCTGAAGGGGCAAGCACTGTGCTTCTGGTCCCAGTGCCCTGAGGATCTGTGTGTGTGTGTGTGGGGTAGATGTGTGACTAATGATAACCCAGGGTCCAGAGAGGATGTGGAGCGGGTGACTTTTGTGAGACAGAGTCTCTGTGGGGACTGAGCTTGGACATTTACAGGCAGAGATTCCCCAGTAACCAGTGGTAAGAGGACTTAGGGCCCTCCTTCCCTCTTTATGCCTGCCCCAGGGACAGGGCTGCTATGCTGCCCCCAAAGGCCCAGAAGCCCCTTTCCAGAGCCGGGACCTCTCCTACTCCTTCCTAACTCAGTTCCCCAAGCACCATGCGACCAGGGCCCATAGAGGAGGTGCCTGAGGAAGAGGAGGGAGGGGAGCTGCCTTGGCCCTTGGGGTCCCAGCAGGTTTGAGACCTCTGTGAGCAGCACCCCCAGGTCTGCAGAGTGGAGTGCACGTGATATGCTATGTAAAGATCTGAGCCATTAACTCCTCGATTCTACCTCTCAGGGGTTGTTTCAAGCGATTAGGTCTTATGATAGTTTGTTATGCAAAAAATCAAACCAAACGGCCCAGACAGATTTGGGGAACAAGGCCACAGAAACCAGACTTACACTAAGCAGTAATAATCACTGTGCCACCCTAGAATGTATGTGTGACGCTTGACAGGGCAGGGGACAGAGATCGGAACCATTACACGGCTGACACAGCTGTCTGTCCTTATGGGGGCAAACACAGTTACAGTCCTGCCGCGTGTTTCCCACACACATGAATCCCACATGGGTTGCAAACCTACCCGTGTGTGAGTAGCCAAACAGTAAAACGTTTAGACAAAAATGCAAATGTCCTTACGACATCAGAAGCACGAACACGTCAAGGTAAACGGTGTAACGGGTTTGACACTAAGAACGTGGAAAACTTTGGTTCAAAAGGGGACACCGGGAATGGGCGGGGCGAGCCACGGCCAAGGAGCGGAAGTGCGCACAGTGTGCAGTGACGAAGGACTCGCGTCCAGGAATTGTACCCAGCTCCTTCACCTCAGTAGAAAGGACAAAGCATTTCCGGTTCGCGTATAGGTAAAAATGGACAAGAGTCGAGACATTTTGAGAGAAGAGCTGTTATTATAAACTCAGTCCTTAGGGAGCCTCCCCAGGGGCCAGACACTCATCTGCCTTCTCCCTCCACCTTTCTTGCCTCCTCTCCGACTGATCTTCCTTTCCTTGGGAATCCCTGCTGGATTCCTCGCAGCCCCTTGCTCTGTGACCCTCCCACGGTGACCTCCTGTGTCTACGCTATCGCAGGCCAGGCTACGTGGTGATCCTGTTTTGGGGGCAGTTTCAGTCTAGAAAATTCTGGCTGGTACCAAGAAGAAGTCATCAAAACACCTAAACACGTTACCCTGCCCTTCACGGAAACACACAAGTTTGTGTTTCCCCAGGTCCACATTTACCTCGCCGTCAGCCAACATCTCCTATCTCCCAACCCAATCCTCAAGCCAATTTTTCCCGGATCTTGAGCCTGTTGCCTTCTCACCAGGAGGTACACGGTGTCTCCTCTGCAAGAGATGGGTCTCCTCAGCCAGAAACTTAGAAATCAACAAGGTGGGCCTCGGGGGTGAAAATGTGAGACCCCAGACCTCGCCGGCCCCTGGTGTTTTCGCTCTTACAGGCCAGGAATTGAGACATTTGAGGGCGTGGTGATGGCGTGAGAGTCTGGGGCAGGACACTGATTCAGGATGAAGTTGGTTACATGACAGGAAGCTTGGAACACAAAAGAATCAGATCACAAGCTACAGGGAGTAAGTGTACCACGTCTTCTGGACTATTCAGATTCACTTCCCAGTACTCCACAGCACCTTAGTGTCTTAAAAGATATTAGTGTCCTGTGGAAAAAAATCCATGCTGGTAGTATATTTTCCCCAAATACTTTAATAAAACCAAGTATGGCCTGTTTATCGAAATTTGCAAGAGCCAACTCATAATATTATTGGATGGGAGCTGATTCAGTAACATGCTATACTATACCATTCTATACAGATATTATAAAGAATAAAGTAAAAGCACACCTGTCAATAGGGAAAGAGATCCCAGATGTATTAAGTGAAATGTGAAAATCAAAATAATAACGTGTTTGGCATGAGCTCATCTGTGTGTGTGTGTGTGTGTGTGTGTGTGTGTGTGTGTGTGTGTGTGTAGCCACAGAAAAAATATCCACATGAACAAACTCCAAAATACAAACAGTGAGCATCTCTGGGGAACTAAGAGCAGAGGGGTGGAGGAAGATTCTACTGCTAATAAAATTGTTGAAATCTACATCTGCAGCCAATACTGCCAAGGTCTAAATCCAAGTTCCAACTTTTACTGGCTGCGTGATTCTAGACAAGATATTTAATTTCTGTGAACGTCAGTTACCTGGACCGATTACATCTCCAATCCCTAGGTAACGATGTAACGCCTTGCCTGTTAGTGCATCTGCCCACCTGACTAACACACAGTATTCACTTAGCCCGACACTAATGCACGATGACCTTCTAATCGTTCAGCACGTAGAGGAACGGGACACGCATTGTGCATATGTTTCAAACGATGGAGTCAGGAACAACTTCGACCTCTTTAGAGTGAATTTGTTTTTTCTCTTTCCCATAAGGTCATAAATGTGGCACTGGAGGGGTCAGGGACAGAGGGAGGGGTCAGGGACGGGTAAAGGAATGAAGATGTGTTGTGTGAAGGACCAATCCCCACAAGGGATGTTGACATTGTGTGCTATGAATGTGTACTAAGAAAAAAAGAAGAAGAAAAAAAAGGTTTTTAAACCTCATCAACACACTCTGTGCAGTCAACATAACAGACATTCTGACCCTGAGTGTGTCAGGTGGCCCGGGAGCAGTTCCCTGTGGAACGCAGGTGTGGTATTTTGACTGCACAAGAAGTATCTACCACGTATCTATCGATATCACAGGCCTCGGTCACATACTGTATAAGTGCTCTTATGCCTGGAGTCATAATTTCAATATACAGGTCTTTTAATTTTTCTAAATAGCTATTTTTAAAAAGCTGCTTAAGAGTCTTGGAGAATCAGTTAATTTCACAGCAACTGATCAGCCTTAAGGACTATTTTCGCTTTTTAATCCGGGCTCAAATTATAGCTCCAGAGATCCCACTGACATCCCCCCAAAATGTACGTTTGAGAGGGCTCCTCGGTGAGACAAGGGTTAGGATGACCTTGGCGACTTTAAAAAAAATCCTGAGTACGCATGCGCTGAGGTTAAAGCCCTTAGTGACCAAACTGGGACCTGGGCGTCCCGGGGAAACAGCGCCACCTTCTGGGTGGCTCGCGCCCCAAGCGGCAGAAATTCTCACCCTCCTTCAGGGCTCCAAGGGAGGAGGGAAAGGAGACCCTCAATTTACTCCAACCAGAGTCTCAACGCTGCAGTGAGCCGCGGGAGGAGGAGAAGGAGGCCACTCATGACTTTTAGGGTGTAGCTGTATAGAAGAAATAGTAGAGCACAAATAACAGGCCATCTAAGTTAGGAAAAACCCCATTTTCCCATTTTCATTGCTCAATACTCACCATAGAATACCTCTCTGGTCACTGGAATGGGTGCCCCCCCACCCCCAGCAATTCTCCACCAGACCCCAGCTGTGTGTCCTACGATACAAGTCAGTCGGGTGAGATCCTACCTGGAGGCGCCATTGGACCCCGCGGGTGGAGGGCTCAGGCCCACAGAGCTGCCCCCACGGGTCCAGATCCCCACCTGTGCTCTGGAAGAGCGAGACATAAATTGAAAGTTCTCAAGACGCTGCCTTGGTGTCGACTGGTTTTCTACAGAGAGGCTCAAAGAACTTAGGGAGAGACACTTTACCTGGATTTATTCTACCGGATTCTGTGAAGAATACAGATCAGGAGCCTGATGGGAGACGGAGAGCTCAAGGCAGGTGGGGAGGGGAACAAGGCACCTGCACCTTCCTGGTTCTGCATCCTCTGACTCTGCCCTCCTGGGCCACTGCGGAGTCTTCACTGTGGATGCAGAATTGACCTTTGGTGAGCAACTCAATCAATCTTCGGTCCCTCTCTACCTCCCCGAGTTGAGGGCGGAGCTGACGTGTGGTTGGTTCCCCAGGCAACCAGCCCCCTTCCGGAGGAGGCTATCAGCTCACCAATGGGAAGTGCCTTAGAATGACAGGCTTCTGTTACCCAGGAAATGCCAGAGAGTTTGGAGCTCTGTGTCAGAACCACCCATTTGGAAAGTTGCAAAGTTCTTAGGTGCTCTGTGGCACAGCCCTCCCACAAGGAGAGGAGAAGCTCTGTATTAAGAATCTGAAGTGTATTTCTTCTTACATCACGATATCACAAAAGTCATCCCCTGTCCCCCAAAAAGACAAAAGAAAGAAAGAAAGAAATACCTGAATCCAGTTATGTATCAAGTTGGTGGCCTCACACAGAGAGGAAGAGCTGTGTATAGTAATTTTAATTGTATGTTCCTAATATGATAAACCTAAGAATTAAAAATAAGTAAAACAGCCAGGTGTGGTGGCACACTCTTTTATATCTCTATCAAACAAGTGTGTGTCTCCATTTCTGAGGAGATCATGAACCAGGAACAGGGGACAATTTATCACTGTGGTTCACTTGCTTAAGTGATTAAGGCAACTAACTCCAAGTAAAACGCTGCAAATCAATCAATTTGTTAGGTTTTTTAGACAAAAAAAATATTCAAATGAGGTCAGGGTTTTTAAAAACTGATGATATGACTTTCTCAGAAAACCTACTGCAAATTTTGGCCTTCTTTCCAGATCAGAGTTAAAAATCTACTCAACTATTTCATCAAAAAAAACCAAAAAAAAAAAAAAAAAGTCAAATAAAAATTTAACATTTTTCAGTAAGTATATTGTGGGTGGAAGCATTGGTCTTATTGTCCCGTGACTTTTGAATCCAATATGAGATAAAGCAAAAGAATAATTATATGATACTCTGATTCTACCATTTTGAGGTGGAATTCTAAGCATTAGATAATTCAAGATAAAAGATGTTAAATAATAGCTGAACGCATAGTACTGATTTTGTGTCGGAAGTAGCAGATAAACTCTTGAAGAATTATTCTTCATAGCTTATACTGTTGTCCATAAAAAAAAAACCCTAGGTACAATGATACCCAGTACCAATGAGCACCCACAGGGCCACATTGTGATCTTGAAATACCATTTTTTTTTCTAAATAGAAACCAGAGATCCTTGAGAAACCAACGACCTTGGTCTAGTAAGAAATATACAAGCTACAATTGCAATGTCTTGTCTTACCAGAGGGAAACTACAATGCATTGAAATGTATCAAGTCTGTTTAAATCATTCATTCATAAATTATACCAAACATGAAAATCTAATCAATCACAATTGAAAAGTGTTACTGAACTCACATAAAGAATCCCCCAGCCCACATCAGGCATGTCCTGCTGGAAGAATAAACCACCACCTATGAAATATTCTCCCTTCCCAAAAATCTACAAAGTTTCCGTAGCTAAGCATCAATTTATAGAAAATGCATAGGACAGGGGAAAGAGTTAAGCAACACTGTGAGGATGAATCAGCAAACGCCATGCCATAGGAAATTCTACAGGACAAACAATCTGGTTTAACAAACAAACAAAAAAAATTGTAAGGGAGGAAAAGGGTGGGGGAGGGGGACTCTACAGACTAAAATCAACAAGACGTACATATTAGCCAACTGTATCTGAAGACTTATTTCGATCTGTTTGTTTGGTACCGGGGATCAAACCCGGGACCCTGTGCTTGTGAGGCAGGTGGCAGAACCACTGAGCTAAATCCCTGGCCCTTGATCCATTCTTTTTAAACCCATAAAATACATAAGACAGGGGCCAGGAATTTAGTTCAGTGGCACCACACCTGCCTGGCAAGCACAAGGTCTTGAGTTCGATTCCCAGTGCCAGAAAAAAAATGGCATTGTTGAAACGATTGGAAATTCTTGGAGTTTTATTTTACTTTTTTTAAAAATTGCTTTAGCAGAAATAGTTATAGATGAGATGATAGGATGAATGGGATTTGCTTCACCTAGTATTTCTGCTTCAAAATACTATGTGAAAGAGGGAGTAGATTAGGCACGAGTGGCTGGAAATCGATACATTGTTGAAGATGGGCTGTGAACGGACACAACGTACCACATTTTATCGCTACATTGTCGAAGATGGATGAGATTTATACTACTCTGTCTACTTTTGCATCTATTTAAAGTTCTGCATGATAAAAAATAGGAAAAAACCAGGAAAGAAGTGAGCGAGGTAGACTCCGAACAGAGTCGGGGAGCAGGACAGGTCCCAGACAGAGGAGATCGTGTCCTTGAGAAGGGGCCCTAGGTGTGGGTGGAGGGGAGCAGAGGGGAGACATGAGAAGACCCAGGGAAGGAAGCAGGATTATCGGTAAGGGAAGGGTCCTATGAGATGAGGAAAACGGACGAGGAAGTACTTGGAAGAAGCGGAGTTTGGCGAGAAATATGAAGGAAGAAGACAATATTTGCTGCTTTATTCTTTAAGCAAACCAGACATTGAAGCCAGTCTTAGAGAGTTAGAAAACTTGCCCTCGGCCGCATACACGCAACGTGATCAAAAAGTACCGTGAAGTTAAAGTAAGTTAAAAAATTCTAATACATTTGACTTCTCTTTTGTGGTGTCTTCAGTTGCTGTCTTGATGTCGTGAATCAATTCAAAACATTTTGCTTTCTGGGTCATTTTGACTTTGGGGAAGAGCCAGAAGTTGCACGGTGCCAGATCTGCTGAATAAGGTTGATGAGGGCAGAGCATCGTGGTTTTATGGTTGGAGGGCACTGGGCAGCCGCCGACGCTGCAGTTTTTCATCTCACCCAGCAAAGACACTCATGAAAAAGGACTTCCAGAACTACTTCAGAAAGTGGGAAGGGAAGTATTCTGAGGGGGATTTGTGGCAATGCATTTTTTGTTGTAATACATTAAAGAAATTTAAACATTCACAGCACAGTTTGATCGCACCGCGTAGAATAAGACCTGTAAGAAGCCACAGTCTGTGTCCTGTATTTATAGTTGCTGTTTCACAGAGCTTTCCTGTCTCCACCCTTCGCTGCCACACCCAGGTGGGACATCCTGCCTGACCCTGGCCAGAATGTGACCAGTTCTCACCCACTGGGAGGCAGGAGAAGATATCTGTGCTTCTGCCTCAGCTCCGATGCCCACAGCACCTACACTGGCTTTGGAACCCAAGGGTGTCTCATTGCCTGTGTTCTGTGCCAGCCTGGCCCGAGACCTGTCTGCCTGTGACCTATTAAGCCCAACACACACACACACACTCACACACACACACACACACACACACACACACACACACGCAGCCCCGGGAGCCGTCCTGCCCAGAACAAGAACTTCGATTCTCAACTTACAGAGCACGGGCTGTTAGGAGCGGACTGGACCTAGATGTGTCAGAAAACAGAGCTACAAATACAGAGAGGGGTGGGGAGAAGGGAGAGGATGGGGAGGAGTCAGAGAGGCAGAAGCCGGGACTCGAGGACAGAGGTATGGATCCAGGAAGGTGATCCAAGCAAGGCAGGATCAGAGAGGGAGCTGGGAAGAGGGGGTCTCAGTTGGCCATTTATTAGGAACGACACCTGCGGAAGGCAGCGGTTGTGGGTGGTGGCCCCGACAATGACTGTGGTCACCACCATCCGTCCTCTCCACACCAATGTCCCAGGCGTGGCCAGTGCTGGGTCCTGGTAGGGTTTGAGTCACCCCACTTTAGAGAGGCCTGTTCCCATACCAGAGGTTCCGCTCACCTTGTCCCAGCGCCAGCTCCGTGGGCGCTGGCCGTGGTCCTGACAGGATTCCCACGCCCCCTGGATGCTCAGGTTGGCCAGAGTGGGGACAAAGGATCTAAAAGTGGTGACAGGGCTGGGGATTTAGCTCAGCGGCGGTGGCCTG